CCCCAAAACCCCAAAACCCCAAAACCCCAAAACCCCACATTTGTTCCTGAGCTGGATCTTAAATATTTTCATAAAAAATGTCTGTTATAGCAAAACCAAAGTTTCTTAGTAGGGCTCATGAAGTGAGCATTAAGTCAGCAAGAAGTAAGTGGGATCACAGAGTCGGAATAATGAATTTAGAACCAAAGTCAAGCCCCTTTTCAAATGCAAAATCAATGAAGGGTAAAGAAGGACATAATTTTCCACAAACACAGAAGACTTTTTGATATTCTAATAAAAATTTCATTGCTAATAATCAGGTAAACTCCTTTGCATGCCATTGGTCATTAATATGCAGATTAATTGTCCTTGCTAATCATAGATTTAGTCTCCAATTACAAAAATTGACTCTAAATTGAAGTTTGAAATTCAACGGATAGTCCTCTCAAGCATTGAAAATTACATAAGACCCTTAAGAATAGAGATCAGCGAGCTAAAGAGAAGGATGAGTGATTCAAAAGAATTCGACTCTAATATTGAGAACGAACCTCTTTATACTCAAGAAAAGCAAGATATACTGGGGTCATATGACATTAACAAAATCTCTTCATGATTAGGGAGCACTCGTCGATCAAGCAAACGAAATTTATGAAGGGATACAAGAAATTTTGTACCCCTGAGTACCACTAGTCTTGATAAAAGGATGAGTGTTTTACAAGGTACAACTTATATATCAATCATAGATATCCAGAAGATCACTCCAAGCTCTCTTCATGCCAATAATATTACCTGTCTTGTCCCTGAAAAATTTGGGGATGACCAAAGTGAGGAATTAAAGTAATATTTTCCACTAATCACTCATAGAACGAAAAAGGTACATCATGATGCAAGATCTTCCATAATCTTCAAGAAGCCTGTTAGCCAAGAACTTTGTCTTAACGATACGACCAATGTAGAGATGGTTCATAAAACTTTTCAGGAAACCCCTAAGCAAGAACTTGGGTCAAAACGAAGAAATAAGCAAGAGTAAACATTTGAGATAATATATTAGTGGTGTTTACACTAGAGGCCATGTTAAAAGCAACCAGAACCACTTACAGAGAAAAGTTGTAAATGATAGCATCACTTCGATGGAATGAACAGACCAGAAAGATAACCATGATGTCTTAAGTGATTACTCTACTGGAAAGATCAATGAGATGAAGGTTCCTGGTACAACTCTCTGAAACCCAGATGTCTATATCAAAGATGAACAAGAAAGCTTCATATCTGATGTAAGTCTTTAAGGATATATTATTTTAGGGTTCAAAGACAATCACAGAGCCGGAGCATGTAAAGGTTAAGGTCTCCCATCTTAGGTCAGCCAAGATTTCGCTGACAACTTGAACTTGAGATTCGGCCAAGTATGCAGAGAGCAATAGAAATTATGAACAGAATTGTGGGCTATATTGAAAATATCTCAGCTCTATTCATCAATTTAAGGCTATATTTGGGTGAAAGAAAAAACCAGAAATTAGAGAAGATTCCTCTTGTGAACAGTATGTTGTTCCATCTACATGGTGGAGAAAATGGTGTGATTTCATTAATATTGAATATAACACCTTTGAAAAACTTTCTAAAGATACTTCGATTCAAAAGCTTTCATCAGGACTACTAAAGCATGATAGGAACACTAGTCGTAATTTCCTAGGACCTCATCAGAGTTCTATTCCTGTTTCTCTGCATATCAGCAACTTATATGGAGAGACTCCAGAAATGTCTTCTCATGATCATAAAGAGACTCTACAAGTTCCCTCTCTCCCTCGTGGTTCTAACCAGACTTCTGCACATGAGACTTCCCACATGAAATCAGAGAGTGATGATCAAGTGTATTCGAAGCCTGGTAAAATCATTAACAAAGATTTGGTCAGGATTTACCACTGACTAGACTCTCACGAGGAGAAAATTGCTCTAAAATCTAGTGTGCAAGAGGTAAGGATCTGTGATAAGTTGTAGGTATATGATTATATTAAAGTGGACAAGAGATGTTGGGAGTTATTGAAGAGTTGGTACGATTATGACTTTGAAGTAGCAGCCCCTGATTTTGACCCAGAGTCTTGATTAAGCTATTTATAATTCAATTAGACAAATCTAGTTGGGGTTTTGGGGTTTTGGGGTTTTGGGG